TGAAAGAGCATTCGCATGCAGTAGCATTCACATGCAGCGAGCCAATCACATAGCGACACGCCTGCAGCATTCACATGCAGCGAGCCACACAGTCACCATGAGAGGGCTCACCATGAGAGTGAGGGCCTCACCATGAGAGTGAGGGTTCACCATGAGAGTGAGGGCTCACCATGAGAGTGAGGGCTTCACCATGAGAGTGAGGGCTCACCATGAGAGTGAGGGCTCACGATGAGAGTGAGGGCTCACGATGAGAGTGAGGGCTCACGATGAGAGTGAGGGCTCACCATGAGAGTGAGGGCTCACCATGAGAGTGAGGGCTCACCATGAGAGTGAGGGCTCACCATGAGAGTGAGGGCTCACCATGAGAGTGAGGGCTCACCATGAAGAGTGAGGGCTCACCATGAGGGCCGGTACTCGCTCCCACAGCGCATCCACCACGTACCCAGCCTGCACCGCATCCCCACACGTCTGCAGCATTCGCACCACCACCACACCTGCCTCCCTGCACCCTCCTCCGCCTCCCCACCCTTCCCTCCCCTCTCATCCACCCTCTTGCCTCCCCCCTTGCCTTTCCTCGGGCCTGCTTCGGATGCAGCGGCTTCAGCAGCAGCAGGAGAGGCAGGGCTGGGGAGGAGGCGAGGAGGAGGAGGAAGAGGACGTTGCAGGCGGCGAGTCTGAGCGGCAGGCAGTCGTCCGTGAGGCGATCAGAGAGGAGAGCGACGGCACGGTTGTGTGGGAGGGTGTCGTTGCTGGGAGGGAACACAGCAGGGGAGAAAGAGTAAGGAGAAGGGGGGGGGGGGGAAGGGAAGAATGGGGAGATGAGGACAGGAGTGGAGTCTGAGCGGCAGGCAGTCGTCCGTGAGGAGATCAGAGAGGAGAGACATGGCACGGTTGTGTGGGAGGGTGTCGTTGCTGGGAGGGAGCAGCAGGGAAGAAAGAAGGTAGGGGAGGGTGAGCGAGGAGATGAGGGCAGGCGGCGAGTCTGAGCGGCAGTGTTGATGTTGCTTTTTGCTTTTGAGGATTCTCAGAAGCAACATCAGTCGTTTGCGGGGCAGTGAGAAACAGAGAGCGATCGGCTGGCCTGGTGGGCGCAAGAATGGAAGCATGCTGATATGTAATGGACTACAATCAGGTACTGCAATCATGTAAGCATGTAAGCATCCACAGCAGCTTACCTGGCGAGCAGCTGGACCAACGAGACAGCAGCCACTGCCACGTCAGCATCCACGTCATCCACCATCTGCTGCACACGTGGCACGAAGCGCTCCGAAAAGACGCCGAGCGCCGGCAGATTGTCCTCGCTGGCGTAGAGCGACTGGAGCGCTGACAGGGCCGTGAGGCGGACGGATGCCACCTGCAGAGGGAGATTGGAATAGAAAATCAAGCGGACATCAACGAGAAATGACGCACTACGACAACTTAAGGGTTTACGTGAAGGGTTTTTGAGTTAACTGATGACAACTTACAGAGCTCTCATCCTGCAGAGCTCTCACCTTGTCGTTGAGCGAGAAGCGGAGGTACTTGAGGTAGACATCACCCAGGAAGAGCGAGGGGTGTGAGCATGCGAGCACCCTACTGCCGCACCGCACGTACCTTACCAGCTTTGCACAGCACCCACCGCCCACCTTGTCATTCAGCGAGAAGCACAGGTACTTGAGGTAGACATCATGGAGGAAGAGGAAGGGCTGTGAGCAGGCCTTGTGATAATCTATTGTACACCGCAATGCCCACTGTCCACCTTGCCCACTGCCCACCTTGCTTAGGTGCCCACCTTGTCATTGAGCGAGAAGCCGAGGTACTTGAGGAAGACATCATCGAGGAAGAGCGACGGGTAGCGCGTCACCCACTGGCCAGCGCCGCCACACACGCTGCTCTGATGGCCGGATCGATGTCCCGATGGCGATGCGTGATGATGCTGGCGGGGGGATTGTGAGGGGGTGTAATACAGGATGCCAGTAAGGGGGGGTGCAAAAGGGGGAGGTGGGTGGGAGGAGTGATGGGAGTCGTGCCTGACACCCACTGCCCCACTGCCCCAGCGCCGCCACACATGCTGCTCTGATGGCCGGATCCACGTCGCGATATCGATGCGTTATGATGCTGCACTGCAAGAGGGGGTTGGGTTACAGAAGGATTTTGAGAATCTATTGGAGTCCGCGTGACGATGGCTAAGATGGGGGTTACGGAAGGTAGGCAGAAGAGCAGAAGGTGAATCAGCACCATTCCAGTGCTGGCATACACCACTCTGCACCATTTGTCACCCACCACTCATCACTCCTCACGCACCCTGTGAACCCTCGCCGCATGACCCCTTCAAGCATCGCCACCTGCCCATGAATCGCATCAACCTTCGCCTGCAGCTCTACTGTTACCCGCCTGCTCGCCGCTCCCTCCAATTCCAATGTGCCTTTGAGTGGACTCTCACCCCTGTCACCACTCTGCACCACGCATCACCCATTACTCACCCAGTGAACCCTCGCCGCATGACCCCTTCCAGCATGGCCACCTGCCCATGAATCGCATCCACCTTCGCTTGCAGCTCCACCGCTGCCCGCCTGCTCGCCCCTCCACTTCCACCTCCCCCACCTGCCCCCTCAGACCCATCCCCCAGTCCTGCCGCTTCCCCGGCGTCCCCATCCCCTCGTCCTTCCCCACCTCCCCCAGTAGACCCCTTCCTCTTGCTCCTCCTCACTCCTGTTCCTCGGCTTTCCGCCCCTGCTCTTGTCGCCTGCTGCTCCTGCTCTTCCGACCGTCGGATCGCGGCCTGCAGCTGCCTCTGAGCCGTGGATTGCGATTCGGAGAGCACGGAAGCGACGGTGATGATGGAGGAGATGAGCTGCAGTGCCACGAGTGTTGCCACGTGGCGGAATATGCGGGGGGAGGAGCTGGGGGGAATAAGGGGAAGAGAGGGGGACGCGGACGCAATATGAGGAGAGGAGGGACGAGGAGAGCACGGAAGCGATGATGGACGAAATGAGCTGCAGCACCACGAGTGTTGCCACGTGGCGGAATATGCGAGGGGAGGAGCTGATGGGGAGGGGAGGCAGAGGGGGGGGAAAGGGGAAGGGAGGGGAGGGAGTAGGTCTGGAGTTCGGGGAAAGTGAATCAAGCATGTTCTGTCAGACGGCAAAGGTGAGAATGAGGAACTGGAGACAAGGAGGAGAGGTAGAGACGCACAATGGGCGGCGGGCTGACGTTATACACACGAAGACGGAAACGAAGAGCAGAGCAGCAAAAAACAGGGATGCGCAGAAAGAGGCAGAGGGAGGAGATGCACAAGCAGAAAGCAACGGGGGAGGGAACGTACGAGGAGAGGGCAACGAGGTAGTCAAGAAGCGTGGGCAGGAGCTGGGAGTCAAAGAGAGAACCTTCCCGCCCCCCCGCCACCACCAGCGCATCCCAGAACAGCAGCAATGACGTGCGGAACGATGCCCCATCGCCACCCTTGCCACTGCCACCCTTGCTGCCCTTGCCGTCGTTGGCAGTGGAGTGGTGGTGGCTGTGGTGCGGTGGAGTGCGGTGCAGATGGTCGAGCAGGGCGACCTGGCGGGCGGAGTCGACGAGGGTTTGCACGACGTCGTCCACACCGACTCCCTCTGACATGATGGCATCGTCTCCCATCACCACCTGCACCCCACACGCCTGGTTGGTAGGGGATGCGGACAGGACGCAACACATTGGAAAGTATTGAGTTGGTTCAAAAGCCCTCAAGGGTTTGCACGACGTCATCCACACCAACCCCCTCTGACATGATGGCATCGTCTCCCATCACCACCTGCACTCCACACGCCTGGTAGGGATGCGGCGGGTAGGGCAGCAGCACACAGACATGCGCGTACGTGCATGCACACACACACACACACACACACACACACACACACACACACACACACACACACACACACACACACACACACACACACACACACAAGTTTTGAGTCGACTCAAAAGCCCAAGAGGGTTTGCACGACGTCATCCACCCTGCTCCCTCAGAGAGGATCGCATCGTCACCCATCACCACCTGCACCCCACACGCCTGCCATGGGTGCGAGTAAAATGGCACACAAGTTGGCTTTTGAGTCGACTCAAAGGTCAACTCGGTTTGCACGACATCATCCACCCCCCGCACTCCCTCTGAGAGAGGATCGCATCGTCACCCATTACCACCTGCACCCCACATGCCTGTCAGGGATGTGGCTGCGGCGACACAAACATACACATGTGATGATGGCTACCAAGCACATGTTGCACATGAGGCGCCTCACAATCAAAATCGGCACATGGCTGCTTGCCTCACGAAAGTGCCAAGTCGATTACCTGGAAGAGCAGCTTGAGCAGCTGGGCCGTGGTATGAGTGCGGTTGAACTCATACCCCTCCATCCAGATAAACAGAGCGACATGCAATTCACAATAAAGGAGAGTGCTACAAGGGTTACCTGGAAGAGCAGCTTGAGCAGCTGGGCTGTGGCATGAGTGCGGTTGAACTCATACCCCTCCATCCACCGGAACGCTGCTTCCTCCACGTCCTCTGCACTGCCCGCCTGGACTATGTCTGTGGGAGGAGGGTGGAGACAACAGGGCACCGGACCAGAGCGATGCATTTTCAAAAACTGGACAAGGTGGATGAAAATTTAGTCAACAAGGTGGAATCGGAAACAGTCAAGTACAGAGCCGGTACTCACAGACCCAAAACACAGGGATCACCCCACCACACAGAGTATCTTTCATAGCCCCTAAAAGGGCATCGTTCTCCTCTCTACAATATGTGTATTTCCCATTCCAACAACCCACCAAAAAGGCTTCGTTCAGAAGCAGTGAGCCGACCATCACCCCTTGGCACCTCCGCCCCTGCCTGCTGCCTCTGCTTGCCTGCTCCCTTCCGCTGCCCCTCCTCCCGCCCTGCCCCCCACACCCTCCTCTTCTCCTTCCACCCCATGCTCCCCACCATCCGCCTGCGCCTCTCTCTCCCCCTCCAACTCCTTCCCTTTCCTTCGCTTCTCCGCTTTCCTTCCCTTGGGTGCTGCAACGGTGGGTCTACCCTCTACAATGAAAGCCCCAGCAGCAGCGGCAGCAGCAGCAGCGGTGGACCGAGCCTGGCCGCGAGGCTTGGCAAGAGCCTTGAGCGCTGCCTTGGGAGGTTTGGGAGCAGGTTTGGGACGAGGTGCGGCGACAGATTGCTGCTTATGCTTGACTTCCCCCCCCTCTGCACGAGGCCTCTTGCCCTTTTGTGAGCTGGGTACATACTCCTCTTCTTCCTCCTCACTCTCCTCCTCCTCCTCACTCTCCTTCTCTGAGCCATTTTCTCTCACACTCTCGTCCTCCTCCTCTTCTCCACCTTCTCCCTCCTCTCCCTCCACTTCAGCTCGCCTCTCCCCTCTTTCCTTATCCCTTTCCTCCACCCGTTCCTCCTCGTCGTCCTCTCCTCCCTCCAATTCACCCTCGCCCACCTCCCCTTCTTCCACCTCCATTTCTTCTCCAGCCTCCTCCTCTTCCGCACCCTCCTCCTCCTCTTCTTCCTTCTTCCCTCCCTTTCCCCTTCCTCTCCTCCCATCCCCCTTCCCTCTCGCCACACTCGCTCTTCTCTCACGCTCCTTTCTGCCCTTCTCCCTCTCCACCACTTCACCCTTCGCACCCTTCCCTCTCAAAAAACTCGCCCTTCGCTCACTCACCTTCGCGCCTCCCTTCGCGCCTCCCTTCATACCTCCCTTCATACCTCCCTTCGCACCTCTCCTCACCCTCTCAGCCATACCCCCATCCTCACTTTTACGAGCCCTTGTGCTCCTGCGCTCCACCACAGCCCCGCCCTTCTTCGCCTTAACCCCCTTTCCTGTTGCTCTCCCCACCTCCTCTTCTTCACCCTCCTCCTGCTCCTCCCCCTGCTCCCCCTCCTGCTCCCCCTCCTGCTCCCCCTCCTGCTCCCCCTCTTGCTCCCCCTGCTGCTCCTCCTCCTCCACTGCCGCAACTCTGTCACCACCTGCAGTTTCCTCTGCTTCTCTCACATCAGCCGTCTCTTCATCTGCTGCTCCTGTCACTGCTCTTCCTGCCCTTGCCGCTTCAACCTTTCCTTTTTGTTTCCCCTTCCCCGCCTTTTCCACCTTCCTTTCCTTCTTTCCCTTGTTCATCTTCCCTGCCTCTCCTGTCCCTCCTCCAACCTTACCCTTCTCCCCCTCCTCCCCCGCCTTCTCCCCCTTCTCCCCTTTCTCCCCCTTCTCCTCTTTCTCCCCCTTCTTCCCCTCCCCTCTCCCCGCTCTGCCTTTGCCCCCAGAAGTGGCAGCCAGCGCAGCAGCAGCCCGTTGCGCAGCTGCCCGCCTCTCCTTCCCTCCAGGAGGGGTCGAGAGCACTTCTAACCCAGGAGGCGTCGAGAGCACCCCCTCAACTGGAGGAGTCAGCAGCACATCTCCGCTTGCTTCTGGCACCACTCCTGCTGTCGCTCTGCTTCCCACGAGTGCTGCACCCGTAGCAGCAGCTCCTGTTTCCACTGCTGCTGCACCTACCCTCGCCGCCACATCCTCTCCTGTGTTTCGACTCTCCACCCCTCTGCCGCTCTCCTTCCCTCGTCCCTTCTTCCCCCCTCTCCTACCATAACTCAAAGTACCACCTGTCTTGGCCGTTTTCCCTGCCACCGCACCACCGCCTGCTTCTGCCTCACCATCGCCCGGGCCAATCCTCTCCGTCCCTAACGATGCTCCCTGGGGCCCGAGTCCTGCTCTTTCCTCTGCATCTCCCTCTGCTCCTCCCTCTGCCTCTCCTCCCGCTGGTCCCTCCGCTCGTCCCTCCGCGCGTCCCTCTGCCACTCCGTCCGGCCGTTCTCTCTCCTCATGTTCCTCTTGCTCCGTGTCCCCTGCCTCCGCCTCCGCCCCAGCACCCGCGTGCATGCCCTCTCCCTCCATTTCCGTCATCGCTCCTCCCGCATCCTTCTTATCTGCAATCAGCGACTCTCCTGCATCTCCTGCCGCTCCTGCCTCTCCCGCTTCTCCTGCCGCTCCTGCCGCTCCTGTGGCTTCTGCCTCTCCTGTCGCTCCCGCCTCCAGCCCAACCTCTGCAACGTCAACCGCTGGCCGTGCCACGTCAGCCACATTTACCTCCCTGAAGGTATGAAGGAGGGAAAGCGGATGACAAGCAAAGGTTGCAGCGAATTGAGTCAAAGTAAAAAACACTTCGTTTCAAGTAGGACACCACAGCAACGCAACAGCAAGCCCCACGAGCCAGCAGCAGGATGGTCAGAAAGGCCAGAAACCATGAGTTCGAACGAGCATGTGACTTGCCAAGAGTCTCACCCTTCCTTTCTCCTCTTCTTGGCGCTCTGCCCACTCGCACCCGCCTCTCTCCTTTTCTCCACCTCTGCTTCCTTCTCCGTCTCCTCCTCTCGCTGCTCCTCCTCCTCCACCTCTTCCTCCTCCCTTTCCTTCTTCCGCTTCCCTCGGGCCTTCGCACCCTTCTGCTTCTTTCCTCCCTTCGTCCTTCCCTTCGTCCCTCCCTTGTTCTCCTCCTCTCGTTCCCCCTGCTCCACTTTTGGCGTTTCCTTTCCCTCTCCTTTCGCCTGCCGCACGGATTGCTGCTGCGGCTGCTGCTGCTGCTGCGGCGGTGGCGGCGGCTGCTCTTTCTGCTGCTGCTGTTGCGGTTGCTGCTGTTGCTGTTCCTTCCTCTCTCCACGCTCCTGCCTCTCCCCCCGCTCCTGCCTCTCTGCCCGCGGCTGCCTTGCGCCCTGCTGGCGTTGCGCCAGCAGCGCCAGCCGCGCCTCCTGCGCCAGGCACGCATCGAGCGCCCCCTTGTAGTCGGGGAGGCAGCTGCTGCGCCGGCTGCGCGCGATCGCCTTCTCCCGCGCCTCGCCCTCGAACCTGTCTAGTTCGTCCGGCCCGCAGAACCGACTGGCACAGGGGGAGGAGGGGAGCAGAGGGAAGAGGGGAGAGGGGGGGAGGGGAAGCGAAGAGAAAGGGGATGAGGAGGGGAAATTTCCGGTATCAGTACGTTGCGTGCTCCTTCGCCGCGTATCTGCAAATTTGTCCAGCTTGAGTGGCATTGCAAAAACGGCTGACATGCGGGGAAGGAAGGTTGGACGAGTCAACCCGGTCATTTGAGCACTGAAGCGGGGTCGGAATAAACAACGCGAACGGATGATAATCGACAAACGGATTCTTGTTCGCACAGAATGCTACCAACGCTATGAATAGACGACGGCCACCCGGGCACTTACGCTTCTCGTGGTCGAGAACATATGATCAGTCGCAACTAAGAAACTAACACTTGTGGGAATCAAGAGACTCACATCTGTCGCGGTTGCAGGAACAGGACGAATATCTTTCCTTCCTGCGGTTCTTTCTTGAACTTGTACGGATCCATGACCTGCTCCGAAGCAACCCAAGGAGACACGGCAATCATTGAAAGGTCGATGCATTCAGCATAGGGACAAGAAAGGTAACAGAATCTCGAGCACGTCGAACGAACAAATATGTGCATAATAATTGAAGGTTAAATACCGAAAAATGGTGAAAAGGCTGCATGTTGAGGAGAACTACCTGAGCCGGCCATGGCGGATAACCCTGAACCTTAGCGAGGACCAGCGAGCCCACCGGCCACGAGTCGGCTCCCGCGTCCATGACTATCGCTGCTGCTCGGACCTAGATAATCAAATGCCAGGCTACAACCAGGCCTTGAGACGTGTCTTCAGACGTCTCGGAACTCGACTCTTTAGCTCGGACTTGAGTACCAGGTTCCAGATCGGAGCTATTTAGTCTATTGCCAGGTTACAAGCGGTTACGAGCGGTTAGGTACCTGGTGGGTTGTGTTACTAGAAAAAAAATACTACAGGTAAGGAGGAAAATTAGTGCGTAACCGTGGAAACGCGTGAAGAACGGGAATAGAATATGACATGAAACGGACAGCGCGGGAAGTATCGCAATTCTTCGGACACAAGGACACTCTCAACGCGAAAAGAGCCTCGTGGGCTCCCCCACCAGCAGCCATACAAGCAACCTGCTGGAATGAAAGGCTTTTATCGGTGTGAGTGGTGCGGGGATGACTGGAAACAATTGAAGAGAGCGTTGCTTCAAAACACTTAGTGGGAGGCAAGGCAAACAACGGAGTCGTGCAGGTGAAGAATGCTGCAGAAGAGGGAGGTGCCTAAATTTGGCGGGAAGCCATTTTCGAAACATTGAAATTGCCACGAGCCTTTTACGAGCATTTTAGGTGTAGCGAATTACACGCAGTGATGCTTAATCGTTTCAAACACTCAAATTAACAGTTAGTAATCAGACATGCATTTCACATGCTTCAAAATGTGCTCACTTCCTAAAGGCTGGCCGAAGAATAGCAGGCTTTACTCTAATGAGCAGCACTTCAAAATAATGCTGAGCCTTTTTACTATCCACAAGCTCAGCAACTCTACTGTCCCACCACAAAATCATTGCTCTAAGGTCTACGCCAGAACCGTGTGCATTCTGGCAAACCTTTCTTCCCTAACCCCTGTCAGTGAACACAGCCACCCTAGAATCCCCATCAGCATTCCCTATCGGTCCACACCTCCACTTCCCCCACCTGTCGACATAGCACCCGCCCCAGAACCATTTTCAGCAGGCAGGGGTGGGCCCCACTTGCCATCAGGATCAGAAGGCTCTAGCACATGCACTGAACCGTCACTCAGACCCAAAGCGAACTGGTTAGGATCTTGCGGGTGAGCTGCGACCACCATTGGCACCACAAGACCCGGTCTGCAAACACGGAAAAGTGATGAGCGCATCGAACACAAGGGATTGACGATGGGTCAGGGAAAGGAAGAAGAGAAGCTTCAGACAGCCCTGCGTTGAGACAACTGAAGGCAAGGAGAGTGAGGTAGGAGCAGAATGCAAGAAGGAACATGTAAGGGGCATGGATACTCCGCGAAGGGAAAGGGAGCACGTGGCAAGAAAACAACGTGCATAAGCATTGCGAGAAGGTAAGGGAGAAGAGTGAGCGCGACGTGCGTACCCGACAGACGGCGCATACGCCGAAGGAGCAACGCGGCACCGCGGCCGAAGACTATCCCCGTCAAACACACACACAGTCGCATCCGCGAATGCAGCAAGCACGAGCGAGGAGTCACACGAATACGCAGCGGCAGTGATGGGCGCGGAGAGCGGGCCGAGGTCGCGGGGCAGCCACTGGCGCAGGCGGTCGAGCTTGGCGGCGTCGTAGATGGCGAGCTGCGACTCGTGCACCACCAGCAGGCGCTGCTGGTCGTTGTGGAACTGCACCCGCGTGTCCGCCTGCTGCGTCGGCGACGAGCGCGACGGGAGAGCCAGCGGGCGCGATTTCCGCCTTTCCCACCCGTCTGTGCTCCAGAGGAACAGCTGGGGAAGGGGAAGAGGGGGGAAGAAGAGGAGGGAGCCCAGGGGAAAAAGGGTAGAGGGGGGAGAAGAGAAGGAAAGTGGGATGGCAGGAGATAAGAGCAGGTGCTGATTGAAGAGTGTGTGGGGGAAAGATAAAAGGGTAAGAAAAGGGGACCAGGTATGAGGTCACTAGGGATCAGTTCATAAGCACCATGGCACGAATAGGAATAGGAACCAGTGGTAGCGAAGCGAGGAGGGAAGCTCAATAAGTTAACCCTCCTCCTCCCCTCACCTGTAAATCACACTCTCCTCTCCTCACCTGCGAGTCAGCCCCAGAGGACACGAGGCTGTTGAGGGCGTTGGAGAAGGCAAGCCCTGTGATGCGCTTGCTGTGCCCCTTCAGCTTGCTCTTCACCTGTTACCATGAGATGGGGGGAGAGGGGGAAGAGGAGGGAGGCCCATAGGGGGGGGGGAAGGTATGGCACTTCAGAAAGACGCCCTGTGATGCGCTTGCTGTGCCCCTTCAGCTTGCTCTTCACCTGTTACCATGAATGACGGGGGTTGAGGGGGGAGTGGAGTGGATGGAAAGGGAGGAAGTGGGGCGGGTGCAGGGGCCAGAAGGGGAGGAAAAATGTGAGTCTAATGCACATTGTTCGGACGGCGATGGCCCAGGTGGAGGGAACGTCAGCTGCTGGAACAGTACCACACCTTTACCCACTACAGCCCTAGAGCAATCCCATGGCTACATCATGGTGCTTTCCATCAAACAGGAGAGGGAAGAAAAAAAATGCAAGTTGAAGAAGTTTTGAAGAAAACCAGCAGCGCTCATGCCCGTGCCTTGCTTGACCTGCCGGTGGAGTGGAACGCTGCTACTGGGAGAGGTGGCTGCTGCGGAACTGGTAATATCGCTTTCATGACCCCATCAAGGGCCAAGGAAGTGCTCACCTCGTCGAGGCGCACATTGTAGATCTGGATGGTTGCATCGTCCATGCCGATGGCGATGATGTTGTTGTCCTGCGGGTGGAACACTCCTGCCTCGGGGAAGTGGCTACCGCAGAGGAAGTGCTTTCCCACCCGGGCCCCTGCCCTGCTACAGCACCACCACTCGCCCAATTAGAGTCCTCACCTCGTCAAGCCGGACGTTGTAGATCTGGATGGTGGCATCGTCCATGCCGATGGCGATTATGTTGTTGTCCTGTGGGTGGAACGCCAGGAAGGTGGCTGCTGGGGGCGGCGCCATGAACGTCGTCATCACCTGGTCAACACAATATAAGAGAGGTCAACGCAGGACAACGAGGGGCAATGGGGAGTGATATGCATGCCACAGGGTGCGCCCTCACACACACACGCGCGCGCGCACGTAGGAGTCGCTGTTGGCCAGCGCAATGCACGCCATCAAATGGGCTCCCTCACTCCCTCACACACACCCGCACACACCTTGAAGGTGAGCATGTTGAAGAGCGAGACCTTGCCCCCCGAGGCGGACATAACATACGAGTCGTTCTTGGACAGCGCTATGCACGCCACCGGGTGCGCTCCCTCCCGGTCATCCGAGCTCACATCGCCCATGTCGTTCGTCATCATGATGCCGCTCGCCGGCTGCCACAGCTGCGGGACAGAGCTCGCAGTGGCCTGCACGTGTGATGGGTACGAAAGGGAGGACCGTTACAGGTACTCAAAGTTACAGAAGCATCGAACAACTAACACTTCCGCCTCTTGAAAAGTGTCTCGTCGGACGGTGCCTACGGCATTATATCGAATTAAAAGAATTACAATGATATAGAAAAATTCTCTAAATGCATATGCTTGTGTTCCCATAGTACTGACCGGTCCTTTGGTGTTGCAGTTGGAGCACTGCCACTTCCACAGCTCGTGCACAGCATTGGCAGAAAGCACTTACTACAGTAAACCCAATACATTCAGCTATAAAGGTATGATATCTGCATATCACGATGTAAATATATGTATAATTTGTGTAACACTCACCAGTCCTTTGGTGTTGCGGTCGGAGCGCTGCCACTTCCACAGCTTGTGCACGGCATTGGCAGAGAGCGCCAGCAGTGCCACACCTGAATTGGTGTAGATCAAACGCAGCACCTTGCTGGGCGGCAGACTGTCCGGCAGGCGGGCGGCCCGGACCTGCGAGGTTCGGAGTGACGGAGGGAAAAGACAGGTTGGGATGGCGGAGGGAAGGGAGGGAAGCACCGGCACAAGAGGGAAATGCAGGCAAGTAGTGGTTAAGGGCATGGAGAGAGACAGAGAGAGCAGTGAAAGCAGATCGTGATGAGGGGCAGGAGAGGGGACTCACAGGCCAAATGTGAAGACAAAAGCAAGGTTGGAGACAGGAGAGGGGAGGTGGAGAAGGTGGAGTGGGACAGACGGGGAGAAGGTTAGAGGGAGAAGGGAGAGGGGGAGCGGGAGAGAGAGGGGGAGCCGGAGAGAGAGGCTACCTGTGAGGGCTCCGAGAACTCAGTAAGCTTCCATCCCTTCTTGTCTGGCCCGTCCTCCTGCAGCCTCTGATGTGAGCAGAGCAGGGGCGTGGAGGGGGGGTTGGCGGAGAGGGGGGTTGGGTTGGGGGAGAGGGAGGATGGGGGAGGAGAAGGGGGATTTTTTTTTAAAGCAACTACAGATAAATCTTCCCGCAGCCTCTGCTGTGAGCAGAGCAGGGGCGTGGAGGGAGGGTTGGGGGAGGGAAAGGGTTCGGGAATGGGAACGGGGCCCCAATAAGTGGGGAAGGGAACTGAGGGAAAAGAGGGCAGCAGGACGGGTGGAGAGGTGGAAGGAGAGAGAGGGGATGCACTGGAGGGGTGACGTGAGAAGGTGAGAAGAAAGAATGCTTGAAGGACAAGAGTCTGTGAACGTCTGAGCTGAAGCACACCCTAAGCCACACACAAGAGACCAGCAATGCACTAGGAGAAAAGTCGTGTAAGAACCGCACCGAAGCAGTAAGAGCAGAAGCAGGGGACGAGCGATCCAACTGCTGTTGCTGCTGCTGCTGCTGCTGCTGCTGCTGTTGTTGTTGTTGCTGCTGCTGCTGTTGCTGCTGCTGCTGCTGTTGTTGCTGCTGTTGTTGCTGCTGCTGTTGCTGTTGCTGTTGCTGCTGCTGTTGCTGCTGCAGCTGCTGCTGCTGTTGTTGAAGCTGCTGCTGCTGTTGCTGAGATGGCGCCTGGGAAGGGGGAGGTTGCTGAGACGCCTGAGCAGCAGCGGCGGCGGCAGCGGCGGCGGCTGCAGCTGCTGCTGCCTGCACTGCCTGCTGCTGCTGCTGCTGTGATGGAGGCTGGGGCAGGGCGGGTGGTGGCGGCTGTAGCGCACAAATGGAGGGGGGGAGGAGAGCAAACATGAGACAGAGAGACGCATCAATTAACGCAAAGGGCCAATCAGGGAAGCAGAGGAATGCACGAAGCAGGAGGGCTGGGGAGCGGGATCTCACATATCCACAAATCTAAGCAGGACTGACTAGCCCACCAATGCACCCACCTTGGTGTCCACAGGTCTCTGGGCAGCTGCTGCAGCCGACTTTTGGGACGTCTCACAAGTCGTCTCTTTTGGGACGTCTCAAAAGTCGTCTATTTTGAGACGTCTCAAAAGTCGTCTATTTTGAGACGTCTCAAAAGTCGTCTATTTTGAGACATCTCAAAAGTCAAGCAAGACTGACTAGCCCACAGACGACCCACCTTGGTGTCCACAGGCCTCTGGGCGGCTGCAGCAGCTGCGGCGGCAGCAGCAGCGGCTGCAGCGGTGGCAGCAGCGGCTTCGAGGTTGCGCAGGAGGCGCAGGCCCATGTCGTTGGCAAGGATCTTCACCGAGTTGTCCGCTGCCGTCACCGCCAAGAGAGAACCCTCCCTGTTGAACCTCACTCTCGGACTCGCCTGGTGGGGAGGAGGGAGGGGGAGGAAGTATGAAGAGAGGCGTGTCAGGGACTGCTGCTATGCCATCAGTAGAATCGCATTTGAACCACAACCATGGAATCGCCTGGCTGTGAAGCGGCCGGCGTCGGCAATGAGCGTGTGAAGCAGGGTGCAGAACCTGATGGGCTACTCGTTCCCAGCACGTAAACCTATCCTAAACCCTGGGCAAGCAGAGTGGCTTCGAGATGGAGGAGAAGCGCTCACTGGCAGGCCACCATCGGCATCTAGTGTGCAGAGCATGGCAGTGTTGTCCATGTCCCAGAACTTGATCAGATACTCGTCGCCAGAGAGGCAGACACAGGGAGGCAGACTCACAAAGAAAGGAGCATCACTCACAAGAGAGGCACACTCACTGGTGGAGTGGAAGCGCGCAGCACTCACTGGCAGGCCACCATCGGCATCTAGTGTGCAGAGCACGGCAGTGTTGTCCATGTCCCAGAACTTGATCAGGTACTCGTCGCCAGAGAGGCAGACACAGGGAGGCAGACTCACAAAGAAAGGAGCATCACTCACAAGAGAGGCCCACTCACTGGTGGAGTGGAAGCGCGCAGCACTCACTGGCAGGCCACCGTCAGCATCGAGTGTGCAGAGCACGGCAGTGTTGTCCATGTCCCAGAACTTGATCAGGTACTCGTCACCGGCGACAAGGAAGCGGTTGCGCGTGGTGTCAAACTGCACGACGCCCAGCGAGCGCTTGCGGAAACCCAGGTAGCTGCGCTTGATGGCACCCTCGCTCTCGTTCCACTCCACCAGTGACGTCTCGCCCTCCTTGCTCGTGCCACAGGAGAAGAGGCTGCGGAGGAGGCAGGGGGAGAGGGAGGGGGGTGGGTGGGTGGTGGGGAAGGTGAGGTGCAGCAACAGGTGGTGCACCACTCACTGTGTGCCAACAGCAGAAAGGGTCCCATTTTGATGCCATGGTCCAAGCCTGGTGACAGCTTCTTGTACATGCATGCAAGCCAAAAAACTGGTGGCTCGAATTGGAGGCACTGGTGACTCACCGCGTGCCATCAGCTGGGTACCCCATGGGGCATCATACTCCACTCTCTACGCCTGGTGACAGCTTGTTGCTCATGTATGGAAGGCGACATCTGAGAGTAAGCCAATGAATATGTGGCTCAAGTCTATTTGTGACTCACCGCGTGCCATCAGCCGAGTACCCCATGGTGCTGCACCACTTGCCCGGGGCATCATAGTCCACTCTCGACCCCAGGTGGTCGTACAGCCACGCCTTGATCTTGCCGTCTATGGCCGTCGAGAATATGAACTACAGGGGAAGGAGCGGTAAGGGAAGGGGTGGGGCGGAAGATGGAGAAGGGGGAGGGGAGAGGGAAGAAGGAAGATATAGCAAAGAATGGGAACAGAATCGGCATAAATGAAAAGGAAAAACAATGGTATTGGTGGCTGGACGTGGGAATATTCTCCGTACCTGAATGTTCTCCTTGTGGTGCGGGCACACGGAGTAGACGGGAGCCTCATGTCCCTCGAATGTGTACAGCTTGCGCCCACTGCTCGCCTCCCACACCTGGCGGTGTGCAGCATGGTGGATACGGGGAGGGAATGGGGCATGAGGCATGCGACATGCAACATGGGGCAACGGGGTATGGGGCATATGGCATGGGGAATGGGGCATGGGGCCATGTGGTCTGGGTGGGTCGATTGACATGGGACGGATGCATGCATATGCATCCCCACGCATATGCGCAAGCACATGCACATACGCGCACATCCATGTGCACACGCACATGCACGGGTTAACTCACCTTGATGGTCTTATCATCGCCGCATGTGATGATGCAGAGCTGCTTGTTGGGGTGAGAGAAGGCCAGGTCGTTCACTCCACCCACATGCGCGTCGATCTGCACACGCCGACAGGCAAGACCACACAGCAACAACACATCTGCTAGTGACAACCGTGTCGAGGTGACCTCGGGATTTGAAGCGAGCATGCATGGTGAGCATGGGCAAGCAGGATAATCATCAGCATGCAGCGAAAGCATCAACCCCGGCCTTCCTACATGTGTCACTGAGCTCAACAACCTCACGCACCTTGAGGTGCAGATAATCCGGTTCTGGTATGTGTAGATGTGCACCATGTGCTTTGAAAAGTTATCTATTCACTCAAAACGGTCCTTAACATTGCTTCAAGTGTCACTATGGCACGCGAACATACGCACCTCGAGGTGCTGTCCCATGCTGCTTGGGTTCTGGTATGTGTAGATGTGCACCATGTGCTTTGAGAACGCCGCTCCTGCCATGCACCACCACCACGAGCAAGACAAGCAGCATACCACGAAAAGATGAGATGCCAACACTCGTAACTTCTCAGGCCAGAAGGGGCAAGGATAGATTGAGGGAATCGCAAAGGTGCAAGGATAAAAAGAGAGGGAGGATTAGAGGGGCGAGAAACGGAAGCAAAGGGGGGGCGCAGAGGGGCGAGGACTCACCAAAGAGTTGCCCGTTAGGCTCCCAGATGACGCGATTCACAGCGATGGTCTGATCCTTCATCCATAGCGTCTGCAGGGCCGGGAAGAGGGAGGGAATGCAAAAGCTGTTCATTCATTGCCCCTTAACAACCTGAAGTGGAGGTCAATCAAGCTGTGGATGGAACCTGGGATTGCAGCAAGCACCTGACAGCTCACGTCAGCACCTGGGAGTACTGAAGACACCTGAGAGTGTTGCGCGCACCTGGAACTGCGGCGAGCACTGCTGGGGGTCCCAGAGCTTGAACGGGCGGTCCACCACCTTCTCTCGTGACCCCACCTCCCATATCGCCACGTCCCCCGTGTTGCTGCCCACTGCACAGACACACATGCAAGCACGAGTGCACACAGACATGCACACACATCCGCATACACACGCATGCACGCATGCGAGCACACACACACTCACAAACATGCAGAGAGATGCATACAGACATGCACGCACAACAACCATGCACACGCAACAAGCACAGGTGAACAGGGATGGTTGGGGCGGGCAGGATAGGGACAAGCAGGGACGCACAAGGACAGCAGCACATGGCAGCAGATGTCACTCACATGCGACGAACTGGCAAAGACGAAGGTTTAAAAGGTTAAAAAGTAGGAACACCAGGGAAGATGGTGGGGGTGACTGGGAAGCAGGAGGAGACGAAAGAAAACAGACATGGAAAAACGTGGCAGGTGGGAAGGGGCTGGAGGGGAAAGTGTACCGAGCAGCAGTGTGGGCTGGTACGGGTGGAAGTCCATGGTCATCACACACGAGCCCTGGTTCAGGTTCCTCGCAATTGTCTTGGGCAGATCCTCCACTGCATACCCGCCTCCTGAACCAACCCCTGCTCCTAGCGCCACTGGCCCCTGTCCCCCTGCTGCTGCTGCTGCCGCTGCAGCAGCTGCTGCGGCAGCGGCGGCAGTTACGGCACTCCCTAGGCCTGCCCCTGCTACGTTGCCTCCTATTGCTGGTACTGGCGGGCCTGGGATTGCTCCTGGGACAGGTGGCGGCTGCTGATTGGGCGGGACTTGGCCGTAGACCTGGTGGGGAGTGGGTGGAGGTGGAAGGGGGTGGGGCATTGGATTAAGGAATGGAAATTAAGAAAAGGAAGGCTGCCCTGTGCTCTGTGCTCTGTGCTCTGTGCCCTGTGCCATGCCTGTTGAACACAATCAGAACACCTCACCTCGTCCATGCCGCCCCTGGGCAATTTAAGCACCATGTAGGAGTCCCCTGTGCCTGGATACTCCACCGCCACCGGTTGTCTGGCGGCGCAGCGCCTGAGTTGACTCACAAGCAACCTCTCTCACACCCCTCAAAGAGCACCTCACCTAAATCCTGCACTTAAGAGCACCTCATCTCAATCACGCACTTAAGAGCACCTCACCTCTATCACGCACTTAAGAGCACCTCATCTCGCCCACACCCTCAAGAGCCTCTCACCTCGTCCATGCCGCCCCGGGGCCGCTTGAGCACCATATCGGAGTCCCCTGTGCCCGGATACTCCACTGCCACTGGGTTGCCTGGCGGCGTGCGCGGCCGCTTCAACATAGCTGCAGTGGGGCCGACAGCAGGCACGCAGCATGGACGGAGGACGGTCAGACCAGCAGCATGGACGGAGGGAACGGTCAGACACGCAGCATGGACGGAGGGAACGATCCAGGCCACCGGGCGAAGGAAGGGAACAGTAGAAACAGGATGCACAAGCACACAAAGGGGTCGCGTCGCGAGCTCCAGGGCATCAAACAACAGGACTAACAGCCACGCACCTGGGTTGGGGCCTGGGGGCAGGTTGGCAGGGGGGGGCGGCACCACGGCGTGGGGGGGAGGCGCAGCTGCAGGCTGCTGTCCGCCCATCCACCCCGCCAGGGCGGAGGCGGATGGTCCCCCAGGCTGGAAGGGCTGCAGTGGCTGCTGCAGGCGGGGGAACAACGGACGTGGTGAGGGGGCGGGGGCGGGGAGACAAAGGTTGGAGAGGAGGGGAAGGGAGTGACAAGAACATTGGATGTCTGTGAGCAGTGGGCACAAGTTTGCAGGGACGGGATGCCAGGCACCCCAACATTCACCATGCCACACACCACTGCACCCCCCGGTACCACCACACCTGACCTCCAAACTCCTATTTGTGAGGCTGAACCTCCCCCGGGCTCCTATCCCTAGACTCACCGCATGCCCGCCCACGCCCACGCCCACGCCAACCGGTCCCAGGGGAAACGGATGGGCCTTAGGCGGCTGCTGCTGCTGCTGCTGCTGTTGCTGCTGCTGTTGCTGTTGCTGCTGCTGCTGTTGAACGGCGGAGAGAAGCGAGTTGGGCGGAGCAGGCTGCTGCGGCTGTGTGCGCCCGCCGTTGGGCGCGGGGCCACAGGTGTGGTCCACAAAGAGGGTCTTGATGTCGGGGTTGGGGCGCGGGTTCTTGCACAGCTGGTGCTGCCAGTTGAGACTGGTGGGGATGGGGATGGGGATACAGGGCGGGGGGGGGGGGAGGGTGGGGGGAGAGGAGGTAGAGAGAGAGGTTTCTTCGCACAGCGATGAGGAGGCAGAGGCTGTAGGTAACTTGATGAGGAAGCGCCGTCATTGTCTCGTCACCAAGGAGTCGATTCTCTGAACTAGCTACCATCAGCGACTTGAGCACATTATGGACTGAACGCATCAAGACAGAGAGGCAAGCAACCCCACCTCTGGTTGATGAGCGTGCGCAGGCGCGAGTTCTGAGGTTGGGGGGGACTGCAGCTTGTGCCTTTCGGGTCTGCTTTCGAGTCGACTCAAAAGAATCGACTCTAAGGAATCGACTCAGAACGCAACGCACCTCTGGTTGATGAGCGTGCGCAGGCGCGAGTTCTTGAGGTTGGGGAACTGCAGCTTGTCGCGGAAGAGCGGGTTGGCCTCGATGAGCTTCTTCAGCTCCAGCAGCATGATGTTGCGCGCCGACTTGGTGTCTCCGTACTTGCTCAGCTGCTCGTTCTCGCTGCACAATACGAGCAATGCAGAATATGGGACGAGTGGAGAAGGTGGGGGGGGTGGGGGGTGGGGGGGGAAAGGGGGTGGGAGGGGAGGGAGGGGTAGGGGAGGGGGGAGGGGGGGAAAGGGGAATAGTTCAGCAGCATGATGTTGCGCACCGACTCGGTGTCCCCATACTCGATCAGCTGTTCGTTCTCGCTGCAGCTACGAGCAATGCAGAAAGGGCTGTGCGGAACCGAAAGGAGAGACGAGGGGGGGGAAATCGACGTGGCGAACGAGGCGGGACGAGAAAGCGTTTGTCGCGAGCACTCATACGAATGGTGGAAAAGGCGATGGTCGTTGAGTCAAGACTTGGCTGCACCATGGGCAGAGTCAAGTACGCGAAGAACTGCTGGTGACCAGCGTTGAAATTGATTAAGGGAATCAATCATGGTTGTTGACAGTTGACTAATGGCTGGAGGCGCAGTCCAAAAAACCGCGTTACAGAACCGAACAGACTTAGACCAATGCGCAGTAAAAAGAAACGTGTTACAGAACGGAACAGACGTTGACCGACCCGAGACGCGGAAACGCACCGGAAATTGTCCAGGGTCAGTAGTTGAGTGATCTCCTTATAGAGCTCCTCGTTAAACGATGCGAACACCTTGAGGTCCTTCACCAGGATCTCCACAGCCTTGGCTCGATCTTGCCTGAGAACCGACGAGCGAGCAGGGGAGGATACAATAATGTCGTAACAAGTTGAATGCAATAATAGCGGAGTCACAGGAGGGACAAACGGCCAGCAACGGCCACTGGTCCACGCGCAAAATGAATCGGAGAATGGAAATAGCCAAAACAAAAAATTTGGAACACGAAGAGACGACCGCGAAGATCTGAAATGACGGACGAGCCCGTTGTGACCCGAAATCACAGTCAAGGTCTTAACGGTTACACGCTTAGCTCGACATGATGACGTCACCGCTGACGTCAGACATGTCGTCCCCGCTCCATCGCGACTTATTTCGGAAGCTGCCCGTCCATTATTCCAAAATACCCATCACGACTCATATAACCCAAACGACCATCTGAAACGGGGGTGACTAAATAAGGTGGAAATCAACGCGGGGAGCGACAAATCGATGCACCGAGGACGGCAAACCACGCACTTGTCCAGCGCTTCGAGGTATTTCTGCTTCCTGATCTCAAAAAAGATCTTCATGGAGTAGCGGTTGTCGTCGACCTTGGTGAAGCCCGCGAGGTAGCGCTCCACCTCCTCCCACTCGCCAGCCACTACCTGGTCTTCGAAATACTTCATGTTGAAGAAAAAGCCCGATTCCTGCTCGAGCCTGCGTCGGTTCGCGGATGGGAGAGTAAAAAGGTTGGAAAACACATGATTTTCTTACATGCTATATCGCGAACTGAAATGGAATATGATTTCTTCATATATGCTTTTATTGGCTGCAAAAAGCGTAAGTACTGGGCGTTTTCTTGTGTGAAGAAGGTAAAATCTTAAAACAGGTCTCTAAGAGTTCTTACTTGTGAACGGTTTCTTTAAACTTTTCTTCATCGAGGAATTGTAGTATTAGGAACACGAGCTCTCGACTTAACGACGACATGGTTCAAGCTCGAAGCGCCAAAACGGCGTACAGCTCGCAAAATATTGTCGATCTACGTTGTCGAGATAGTCTAGTTAGTTGAGAGGTGAACATATGGTCGCTTCAAATGGAGCGGAAGTTCATGAACGGGGTGCATGAGGTGAGATCCGAAAATGGTCAGCTTCCCATTCTGTGCCTGGCTCTGATTCAGTCCAGGGGAGAGGTGGGTCAGCCACAGGACCGCCTGCTATTAAAGTTGAGGTTGTTTGCGATCTTATGGGTTTTACTTGGTTCAAGTGCGGTGAAGCGCGGCAATCTCGTAGTTCCTTGACTTTCTGGTGACTTCAAAATGGGGGAGGGAGGGAGGGAGCGAATGGAACGGAGGGATGCACTGTAGGAAGGGAGGCAAGGGTGCAAGGCCAATTGTGCGAGGTGCGAGCGAGTGTGACACGGGAAGATTGTCATGCCAACCAACAAGGACAACCTGCAACACATTCCGGAAAAAATATCGAGGTCGCTGCTGGTCCCGAAGAACACTGTAAGTAACTCAAGTCAAAACTCCCAGCTTTGATGGTGCTCTTCAGTTTGATCCGCAACGCATTTGCTGCCAGATGTGGGCACTTCAGCAAGGTACAGTACTAATCACTTACCGCTGTACTTGCTTTTGTTTCGGGCACTTCACAGACGAAAGGTCTTTTCATGGGCAGTTGCCCTACTCTCATCTCAACTGCACGCACCCTAACAGCTCTCTGTACAGTCTCCAGCCGAGTTATTGCAATGATGCGCCGTACCCTCGCCTCTCCGACTTGAGGAGGCCCATCCAACATCAACGTTCTGCCGGAACAGCCAGCACAGCACAGCTGAAGCTCATCCGAGCATGTCCCTCTGTCCGTTCGAAAGAACCGTGATTTGCGTTCATCCGCCGGAAAGGTTCCACCAATTTCAAGCGTCAGCTGGTTCTCTCTGTGGGGCGTGAGTTCAGCACTAAGGTTTTCTGGCTCGGCCTTCAGATTTTGATCGAAAACCGCATGCTGCAACAAGTTACCCCCGATTACTGTTGATGATAAGCCGAACAGCTGTACGAGATATCCCGCAGCAACAAGTTCAACTCAGTACAGCGCATTATTCCATACACGTCGTTACAGTAGAGGCTTCCGATCACTTCCCATCTCCACGCAAATTTACAACGGTTTCCAATCGGGCCTTTCTCAATATTAAAAAGAAGGCCGAGTCTACTGATTTGAGATACCAGATTTTAACTTGATCCTTTCTCTCATTCCCCAATATCCTCCAAGAAGTCTACCAATAGTCATTCATATGCTAAGGTTCTTTCCATATGTATAATAATCATTTTCATATCAGCATCTTGTTATCATGTTAAAATTGTGACAACCGAGAATCGTCATAAAAGTCCGATGGTTCTGGGAATACGGTGCTTACAAAAAAACAAATTGCAGAAAAATTTATAGTCTATGGAGCAAACAAACTCTACAAAACATATAAGAAATTCTACATGTTTTTTTGCATTCCTATGTATGAAAAATATAAATCTGTCTACAAATCAAATCCCATATTGCACGATTATGGGACCCTTTATATTTTTTTAATAAATAAACATTTAATTTTCGTAAAAAAACATGCCAATATTTTGACACAACTTTCATAATCTGATACTTTTGGTATTTAATTTTGATTTCCACCACTCTTAACACACTTGCAAATCCAGTCTGCATGTTGTGTCATCTTGCAAATGTGTGCTGGTAACGAATCAATACCTGCAAAGTTACGCGAGTTCCCGATTCGCGACCCATGTGATTTCAACTTGATTCAAATCACCATAACCACGGGATTTATAGTATGTACATATGAAACATCGTCAGTTTCATGCGCAGTTGTTATTTTTGTTTGATTCATGAGATAGAGTTGTCAACTATGTTAATCAAATAAAATCTGGTATGTAATATATAATCATTTAAGTACAAACAGTTTAACTTATTTCAGATACATTGGAACAAATACTCGAAATACACTTTTAACGATCAGACGAATTTCATATAATATCAAGGGTTTCAGACCCCCTCCAACCAGGGACGTCCCTGTGAAAGAACGAGGAATTAATGAACTAGCAAGCAGGTGGGTACAAGTAGGAAAAGCGTAAAAGTGTTTTACCCCATATTGTCTACCCCGCTACAGCCTACACATACTATAGCATACAAGTTTGACACACCCCCATAGGCAAAGTGGGGGAGAACAAGAGGTCACAAGACCAGTCAAGCAAAGCAAAGCAAGCTCAGGGTGGATCACAACGTCACCACACATTCCGAGCACAAGTTTCAGGCCAGAAGGCCAGTTCACATGCAAGATCATATATAAAGGTAAACAAGCAAGTGCAAGTATAGAAAGAGCACAGTACAAGCAAGGTCAAGAAGTGAGCAAGTGGGGCCAAGTAGGCACAAGACCTAGCATCGTACGGAAGCGCTGGTGATCACAAGGCGGAAGTGCCTTGGTAAAGATATCAGCAGTGTTGGCCTCAGAGGCCACGTAAGCAAGGCGCAGCTGACCACGCTGTTGCAGCTCACGAGCAAGGAAGTAGCGAAGAGCAATGTGATTCGTTCTGTGCTCTAGTTTGTGCTCCCGACACAAGGCCAGCATGGCGTTGTTGTCTACGTACAGAACTGGAGGAGAACGAGGCGGCTCTCCTAGGTAAGTCAGCACGTAGGTGAGCCAGCGTAGCTCCTGTACAACCATGGCCCCCGCGTAGATCTCAGCCTCATAGCTGGAGCCGAGAATAGAAGACGAACGGGTAGACCGCCACAAAACAGAGCCGGAACCAAGGCTGAAGGTGTAACCCTGTGACGACCGCTGCGTAGCCTGGTCGTCAGCCCAAGAAGCGTCTGCGTGACCTGTGAGGACCACTGGATGTCGCCCTCCAAGCACTAGCCCCATGCCCGACGTATTGCACAAGTAGCGCAACACCCCCTTCGCTGCAGCCATGTGCTCTGGTCGGTGTCTCCCAGGAGCAACATAGCGTGCCAAGATGCTAAGAGGGTATGCAAGGTCAGGTCGTGTGCAGGTCATCAAGTACATGAGGCAGCCAACAAGCTCTGGGTACGGGCCACTCGGCTCTACGGACTCATCTGAAGGCAGAGCTGAGAGCGAGTGGCGAGTAGACAGAGGAGTGGCCTGACGCGAGGAGTACGTGAAGTCGAAGCGCTGAAGGACCTGCTGCACCATGTGTGACTGAGTTAGGGCAATGGTGCGTTGTGCTCTGTCCCGGGTGATCTGCAAGCCAAGGTAGCTGCGCAGTTCACCCAGGTCTGTGCACGTGTGTCTCTTCTGCAGCTCGGACTTCACGTGGGCAAGTCTAGCAGTGTCAGCAGTGGCAAAGACCAAGTCGTCGACGTACACGAGGATGTAGAACGGCGACAAAGAGGTGTCGGTGCGCAGAAACAGCGACGGGTCGGCAGTAGAAGGAGCAAACCCAAGAGCCGCAAACGTAGTCCTCAGTGTGTCGTGCCGCTCACGGGGCGCCTAGCGGAGACCGCAGACTGGCTGCCGTAGGCTCCACTGGTTACCAGGGGGAAACGACCCAGTGAAGCCAGGTGGGCGGCGCAGCCAGATCTCCTCATGCAAGCTGCCCTGCAAGAAAGCTGTGCTGAAGTCAAGAGAGTGAAGCTCGTAGTCGCGCTGAGCGGCTATGTGCAGCAGCACCCGAAGACTGGTCATCTTCGGGGTGGGAGAGAAGGTCTGAAAGTAGTCAACTCCCTGCCGCTGACTAAAGCCTCGAGCCACGTAACGCGCCTTGAAGACAGGCGGAGAACCCGGCGGTCGCTTCACCCTGAAAATCTACATGCCACTGACGATGTTCGCCCCAGGTGGGGGAACCTCGTCGACGTAGGTGCCTGTGGACTTCCAGGAAGCCATCTCTGCGTCCATGGCTGACTACCACTGTGAGGAGTAGGGACCCTCGATCGCCTCAGCGTACGATCGAGGAGTCGGGATGTCTGGTGCATTCGGGTCTCCCTCAGGGGCTATCAGCGTGGACACGAGATGAGGCAAAGCAGCAGCAAAACACTGCAACTCCTCCTGCCTGTCCTCAAGGACGTCCGTGCTAAGAGCACACTCACCCCCGATGGACGGAGGACAGACAGACTCAGACTCAGCAACAAGACTAGTGGCGTAGTCTAGACGACAGCGAGCAGCAAAGTCGACAAGCTCAGCAACCAAGGCAGACGCAGCAGTGGACTCGAAGGAAAGGTCAGTGACAACAGTAGCCAGGGGACGCGTGACAGTCGGACTGGCAGCATGAAGAGAGTCAGACTCCGGGTCAGCAAGGACATGAAGAGAGGAGTCTGGGGGAGATGGCAACGGGACACGCAGAGGAGCAGTGGAAGGACGCAGTGCCATCTGGTGTGTGCCCAGGATGGCAGGAGGATGCGGACGCGGAGCACGACTACTAGTGCGAACAGCACGAACAGGCGACGCAGGACGAGACGCAGGCTCACGACGCTGAGCAAGACCTCCAGTGGGACCAGTGTAGGGAGAAGGAGCAGGTAAGGGGGAGGCTGGCTGTAACTGTGACCGCGACTGGACAGGCTGTGGACACTCTAAGGGAGGAGCAGGACCAGTAGAGGGCGGGAGACCAAGAACCTGCTCAAGGAGCGGAACGAAGTACGGCCGCGGCCGCGCAGCGCCTCCAGAACCAGCAGGGACAGCATCAGTACCCCAAGCGGCAGCACCAGCGCCAGCAG